TGTCCTGAACCTTCATTTCTTCCTTATCACCTCAAATCACATTCTGAATAACTGATGATTCTGCCATTCAATGAACTCTTCCAATAGTGATTCTAACTTCCAGCATTCTATCGATATACTGAAGATCCGTGTTTCTCTGCCTAACAATATGATCCAGTACCTCTGAATAATATCTGTAAACACTAGTGTGTTCCCTAATCACATGAATATTTTATCTGATTTCTGATTTGAATTATGTTATGATACCTGACCTGGATTCTGTTCTGATTTCTGATCTGAATTCTGTTATGATATTTGATCTGAATTCTAGTTTGATTTCTAATATATCCATTTACTGATGGAAAAATGTTTTATTTGTGGGGGTTATTGTTGGAGGAAGTATATCTGCAGGCTCCTCGGCTTTGTGCTCAGAGCCTTACTTGTTGTGTGAGTTGGGTGTATGGTTCTGGTGAACCTATATAAACAGATTGTGAAAGGATGGGGGTAGTGTTCATGTTTTTTTAAATATGTTTTAAAACAAATATGTATCTTTTCAGTGGTTTTACGGGAACATACTAGATAACCTATTCTAATATCCTAAACCTAGTCATCCGAAATATTTCCCTCTGAACTGAAAGCTTACTGTCTGTTACTACCTGAGATATCAGTGGGACCTCAGCTTATCCTAAAAATCTGTAGATGTTTGAACCAATAAGGAAATATATGTCTATCTATATCTACACGTTATTCAGCATCATTTGGTAGTATTGTATTACTGAGCTTTCCAAAGCTCACTCAGTTACTCACCTTTTCAGGTTACAAGAATCGTATCAGTGCATCTATCGATATTAGTAAGGGAATTCTTTCAGCTTTGTTTGCAGAGTATGGTACATGTGATCAGGGGGCATATAGATTATATTTTGTTTATATACGAGTCTTAAAACCTGTTATATTTATGAGTACTGATAAACCATTTTATGAGTTTACATATTTTAATAAAAGTTTTAAATTTTCTGAGATTTTTACAGTGGGTCTCTCTGGTGGCCCTAATGTGACACCCCAGATCGGATTAGGTTTCCCACATTGGTATGAGGGGGTTACATTTAGTGGTATCAACGCTTAATTTGAGTTAAAATTTATAAGATAGACCGGTCGATCGAATTTCAAAAGAGGTCTGATCAGTACATGCCCCTAGACTACACTCGTACCTCTCTGAGCTGGAACTCCAAGGTTGAGTCCCTTTATATAACGAGCAAATCTAAGTTTTCTATCTTTTAAGGCTCTACCTTTGCATAAAATAATATTAGTAACGTCTATCTAAATTCTGTAAAGTATCTCACGAGCCATGTGAGAGTTACTCATCTAGGAAATTCTGACACAACTCCAGAAATGAAATTGGGATATGTCATCACTTTTATGAATCTATTCTCGTAACCAAGGCTGAATTGATTCCACAAGGATAATTTGTTTTGATTATTTTATTGCAATGAGAGAGAGTTATGATGAGAATGTGTACTCAGCTGGTTAAGGATTAGTATATGATACATACTTCAGTAAAACCTGCTTTAAGATATGAAAGAACTGATGAAAGCTTTATTTATGTATTTATGTGATTTGAATGAATTTCAAGGACAATTGTTTTAAGGATGGGAGAATTGTCACACCCCAATTTAGGGGCTAAATTTTAAAAATTATAAAGTATATTGAATTTAAGTAGCATTTTGGAAGAAATTGAGGATTAAAGAGTAAAATCGTAAAGGTAAACCATTTTAAGGAAGTGCAGGAAATTCAGGGATCCAGTCCTGAATTTACGCATTTTTCTTATGTGTTGAAAAATAAATTCCTCCCCGTGCAATCAGTTTTCCCATATTTCTTTTCCCCAAATTCTCTCCCTCATCAACCCCTTTTGTAACTCCAATTTCTACACTGTCTAGCAACCGTTCGTCGATTCGAAACCACCAATAGACTCACTATGATCGCTTGAGAGAGGCATTTGATAGGCAGAAATCATACGCATATCAGCGATAGAAGGATATCGAGTTTGAGGTTGGGGATTAAGTTTTTCTCAAGGTATATCCATGGAAGAAAGTGTTGAGATTTGAACGTAAGGGTAAATTGAGCCCAAGATTTATTGGGTTGTATCGTATTTTGAAGAAAGTCGAACATGTTACTTATCAGCTTAAGTTCTCTCCCCAGCTCAGTCGCATTCATGATGTTTTTCATGTATCTATGTTGAGGTGATACCGTCCAGATCCATGTCACATCATTCATGTTGAGGAGGTAGAGTTGAGACCTGATTTGTCCTATGAGGAGAAGCCCGTTCAGATTTTAGATCAGGATGAGAGAGTTCTTCGGAATAGGAATACCTCCGATGGTCAAAGTTCAATGGAGTAACTGTGGCCCCTCAAAAGCTACTTGCGAGTCATTGGAGTTGATGGAGGCTCAATTTCCGCATCTGTTTACATCAGGTTAATTTTGAGGATGAAATTTCTTTTAAGGGGGGGGAGTTGTCACACCCCAAAATAGGGCCTAAAATTTTGGTTAAATTGAATTTTAATTGAATTCGGGGAGTGAAGTGAAATTTTGATTATATTTGGATTCAAATTCAGAAAGTAAATAAAGATGGAGGACCTATAGCATGATTTTACCATTTTTCCTTTTTAAAGGTTATATACCCCTAAATCAGCAGAATTATTTTATTAAAATTTCTCTCTCTAGAATGTTTTCCTTTTAAAGAAATAAATCTTTGATTGTCGATTCATCGTCGACCATTGCTCTGTTTTCGACACCTCTCGCACCATCGTGTTCATTGCGTCATCTCGAGTACACCAATAACCTTATTATCTTTGTTGTCGTCGACGTGTGGGTGGTGAGGTATATCAATTTTCCAACGTTTTAGAATCGAGCTCTCCCCCGTTCACCGTTGTGAACCGAGTTTGATAAGTGTATCAAAACTCCTTAAAATAGCTATATGATTTTTTTTTAGGAATTTTCTGATCCTCTATGGCCTTGTACGCGCCCCCATGCGCCACCTTTGAGAGTGGGGAAAGTCCACCGCCTGGTGGACTGTTTGGTATGGGCTGACCCGACCCGACACGTATCTGACTCGGCCCACTGACCTAATCCGCTAATCTGACCTGCCTTCTCGACCATATCTGACACGGTCCAACGTTGATTGTTGACCGTTGACTTTGATCAAAAAGTCAAACTTTTGAAAAGTCATATTTTATGTTTTTCGACGTCCTGAGTCTGATTCTAAAGTCTGATTTGCCAACTTTTGATCCGAAAGCCCGACGTTAACCCAAAAATGCTTAGTAGTTTTAGTATTTTTGCTTATTTATTTGAGATTTGGTTATAGAATTGATTAAATAAGACATTTTTATGAAGGTACTCGTGTTTCACCTGACCGAGGGTCAGTTAGGTCCGGTGTTTCCCGTCCATCAGATCCGTTCAATCCGAGTTCTAAGAGAGTTACCCGTAAGTTTTCATAAATTATTTAAATAAAGGTTAATATTATTCATATTAGGATTCCGATATGCATTTTCTGATTCATAGGATCTATCACTATCGTTGATTGTGATCGACAAACTCAGTAGTAGGCATCTCTATCAAACTACTCAGATTGATACAGGTGTGTTTCCTGATGGTGTTAAATTACTGTTTTAAACTACCCATTTGAACTATTTCAGATTTGTGGTAGTTCTGAATATTTTTACGACATGATACCTAATTTCTGAATATTATTTGTTCGACATATGATTTACCGTATATTACTGATTTGAATTCTGGTTACTATATTTCTGTATATGATTTCCAAGCATGAAATATTTTCATGTTTTAATGGATTAATTATCATTTTTAGTCGAATACATACATGTTTATTGCTATCATTGGGGGTATTTTTGGAGGAAGTTTCTGAAGGCTCATTTGCTATCTGCAAGGGTAAGACTTTACCATTTCTGAAGGCTCCTCTGCTATGTGTCAAGGTAAGACCTTACCGTTTTCTATAGACTCCTCGGATTTTTGCTCAGCGTAAGTCCTTACTGAAGGTTCCTCTGCTTTGAACACAGGGTAAGTCCTTACTAGGTGTACAGGTGGGTGTATGGTTCTAGGGATCCTACACATTCTGGTGATCGGATAGGGGTAGTGCTCATGTTTTTAAAACCTGCTTGATAAACTGATTTTTCTGAAATATATTATCTGTATGTTTTTATACACCGTAGGAGCACACTGAGCTTTTTAGCTCATTCCGTAAATTTTAACCTTTTCAGAGAATATCATACTAGACTAGCAGACTTGGCATCAGGAGGATCGACTACTCCTACTTTTGTACTACTGTATATCTCTATATGCCTTTCAGTTATATTTTGGTGACATGTGTTTTGCTACCATCTTGATATATATGTATTATCGATATTTTATTCTGTAAATGTTTTATACGGTTTTCTAAGGTATTTTGATATATATATGTTTTATATAGTTTGTATACATATATGTTTAAATATGTAAAGAACATTTGAATGTGATATGTGATCGCCTAGATTTGGGTTTAACGTCCAAGTTGGGTCTAGGGGTTACAAAATTACTTACCTTTAATCGAAAAAATTCCCCTAAAAAGTAAAAAATATTAGATAAGAAATAATAAATTAATATTAAATAAATCATAGGGGGAAAATAAAATAAAATGAATAAAATAAAAAAATTTAAAATTTTTAAAGTAATAAAATAAACGAAATAAAAGAAGAAGAAACCTTCGAAAAGATAAAAAATGTTAGAGAAATTAGAATAATAATTAAATAAAAATATTAAATCAAATCATAAATGAAAATAAAATAGGGGTTAGATTTACAATAATAATAGTTAAACATCAAAATTAAATTACAAAGAAATGGACTATGTTACATGGTGCATCAAAGATAGGGGACCAGAAGAAAAATTTAACCATAATATTTGAAGGGCTATGGAGGAGTTTACTCATAATAGTTGAAGAACTATAGCGAGAATTTACCCAAAGTCCTTGGTCACGTGGGGTTTTGTTTAATTTCACGCGTACAGGAGCCTTTTTTAATGCATTTGTAATTCCATTTAAAACAAACTTCCCCCGTAAACAAGGCGTTGTTGGAGAAGGCGAAGAAATTGGTGCTTTGGAAGAGAACAAATTGTGGAACAGATTTCCCCTTGTAAGGGTAAAACATAGAATAATAGTCGGTGAAAGAAAATAATATGATGAACGAAACCGATAGGTAGTCGAAGGCGATGGAGGGATACTTGCGTAGAACTGAATCTTTATCAGGAATCCGGGTTCCGATAGCAGGCTTCTTGTTCTCCGTAATGACTCCGAAGATGAAAGATAAGACACTGAGGCCGGCGACGATGAGGGTCGCTCGCTTCATAGTCACACCCATGGTGGATTTTGAGTATACGATGATCTGATGAAACCCAAGGGTGGTTCTTTGCAGGAACTAGGAACGAGGACTAGCAATGGAAACATCTATTTGGTATTATAATATGGAAGCTTTGGAAGAATCGGAACGAGTTTGTGTTCCAGCGGAAGTTTCGGGCAGCAATGAACATAATTCAACGGAAGCTTTGAAATTATCGTGCAAAGGGCTTACTGCCGAAGTCAATCTGCGGATGTCTTCGAAACCATCATCCCCGAACTTCTTCAAGCTAAATACAGATGGCGCAGTCAACCCGTTATCGATGCAAGCTTCATGCATAAGTGTCATTCAGAACGACAATGGTGCGTGGGTCAAAGGCTTTTCCAAGAAGATCGGCTGCTCCAAAATCCCATAATTGGAGCTTTTAGCTATCCTTACGGGGCTCCAAACTGCCTGGGAGCATGGCTACCCTGGTGACCTCCCAGACGCGATGGTGGAGCTATGGCTGAGCGACCACAATCTCCCCATATCTTCATTTCTCCCCCCGCCCCCCGTTTTCCCCCTCCCTGGAACCAGAACTCTTCCCCTTTTTATGGTGAGATGATGATGATGGGTTAGGTAATTAGGTGGGTAGTGGTGGATTAGGTGGTTAGTGGGTGTAGTGGATTAGGTGGTTAGTGGGTAGGTAATAATTAATAAATAATAATAATAATAATTATTATTATTATATTTTTTTGACTCGGACAAAAAGGGGTGTCTACAGCTGTCCCACTTTATATATTCTTATGTTAACAAGAATAGGGCAGAAAAAAAAAAAATTTGTCCAATTTTTCTATTTTGGTTTTGGAAACTTGATATGTTTGTGTTGGGAGTAACTGTAATTGGGCTTCAGGTTGAGCCTGGAATTGGGCCTTGGTCTTCTTCCCATTTTAAAGACTTCGGATAGAAAATTCTTTCGGAAAGTAGTTCATCGATGCTACTATGTGTTTGATATGTTCTCGAGCTCAATGGAATCGAACTCGAAAATTTTCGTTGACATATAGCCCTTCTCGCCTTGAGATATGCTATAAATTTGAATGTGATATAGTTCATTGTTGCTAAATCACAGCTAACCCAGATCTCATTCTTGACTTAAAGACCTCGGTTTGAACTTTGACCGGAAAGTAGTCCTCCGTTGCTACAATGCAGTTGATATGCCCTTGAGCTGAATGGAATCGAACTCGAAAGTCTTCATTGACAGATAACCCTTCTTGCCTTGAGTTATGTTGTAAACTTGTTATGTCTTTGAGCTGAATGGAATCGAACTCAAAGGTTTCTGTTGACAGATAACCCTCATCGTCTTGAGTTATGCTATACTAAGCTGAGAGATTGCCCAAATCTTCCTCTTGACTTAAAGACCTTGGTTTAAACTTCAACCGGAAAGTAGTTCCTCGATGCTACCATGCAGTTGATATATCATCGAGATGAATGGAATCGAACTCGACAGTTTTTGTTAACAGATAGCCCTTCTCGCCTTGAACTATGCTGTAAATTTGATATGCCCTTGAGCTTAATGTAATCGAACTTGAAGGTTTTTATTGACAGATAACCCTTATCGCCTTGAGTTATGCTGTAAATTTGATATGTCCTTGAGCTGAATGTAATCGAACTCGAAGTTTTTGTTGACAGATATCCCTTCTCGCCTTGAGCTATACTATAATAGGCTGGGAGATAACCCCCTATTGATACAGATGACTAATTTTCCGTGAAACTAAGTCAATCCACTTGGGCACGATATCCTCAGTCGTGAAGTTGAAATCGTGGATGGCTCATTCACTGTGAAGTTGAGGTTTGAATTGGATGTCCTTTGTTTTGAAGTTGAAATCCAACATTGTATTTTTTCGAGTTCAATATCCTTCGCTGTGAAGTTGAAATTGACTCTGAATAAAACTTAAAAGTTGTTTGTCGACAGACAGCTTTTCTCGTCTTAAGTTGTGCTTTCAATTTCTTATAAATGAATGATGGCCCCATTCGCTGGTATAAGTCGATCATAGTTCTTCAGATGACTCCCCGTCACGGGAAAGCCAAGTGGTAAATTCTGTCAGCCGGATATCATCTATCGTGGAGTTGAAGTCTGGCTTGAAGACGTTAACTGAAAGCTAACCACTCCTCATTGAGTTAAGCTGAGTTGGATCTGTTCTGAATTGGTTCTCTAACTCGTCTGAATTTGAATGCAAGATCTGTCGATCTTTCAATATGTCAAATTGGTTGAGGTGTAGCTCCTCGCTAATGAGCTAAGCAACCATCATTAATTTCTGAAGGTGCTTTTGAATCGAGTATCTTTCGTCTTGAAGTTGAAACTTGACTCTAAAGCTGCAAAAATTATGTATGCGAAAAAAATGATCAATGTGATGCTCTTAAGTATGTCTAAAATTTATGCACAATGAATTAGTTCTTGTTTTATCTTTTAGATGGAGCCTCATTCTTTGTCTGCTTGTTCCTGTATATGGAGGAAAGGCCTTCAGAAGATCTGATAATTCGCATCAGGATGGAGAATCCCTAAAGATGCCCCAATATTCGATGTTGAATCTCTAAAACTGCCCCAATATTTAATGTTGAATCTTCAAAGATGCCCTCATTGTTCCTCATTTCTTGCTTCAGTATTGATTTTAAGCATGAGCTTTGTGTATGGGAGCCACATGTCATTGACCAAGATCCACTCTAAAGAGATTATCTTGTTTGAAAAATGTTTTTCTTTCTCTTTTATTTTCAAAATTCTGAAAATATCAATAAAAAGAGTTTCGAAAAAATGTTTAATCAAAAGTTTTGAAAAATATTGCCCCTTTTTCGGTTTTACAATTGAGATGAATCATAAAACTAGAGTTCATTGGATATCAAATAGTTAATTACATTGTTAATCCTTCAATAAATTATGGCTATTTGACAAGTGTCAAGATCAAAGCTATCTTTGGTAAATGGTTAAGTAAGGAAAGGATAAAAAAGTCTCAGGTCATTATGTTTAGTCAAAGGTTTGACATTTTTGTTTATTTGATGCTCAATGGTTTGATGGGGTAGCTTGTATTCTCATCTACTGGAAGTGTTCTCTGACTCCCATCTTTTATGGTCACACTCGGATTGTATGATGCCTTATAAAGGAATTTATACGATCGCCTCAGCTGCACAATTTTATATTCAACCTACCTTTTTAGGTTTTCAACTCGAATCCTCCTTTGGTTTCAAGACGTCATTCAGAATTTACGTCTTGAACCCCCTTTGTTATTTTTATCTATCATGCATTAAAGATTTTAGAAAACCTTTTTCAAATAAAGATTAATCCTGATGATTGTGATGAAATCTGAATATAGTATCTTCTGTTCAGAAATCCATCTATGATTAGAAGAGACTTTTAAGGCACATAATGTAGGCCATGGTTCATGGTTATGAAAGAAATGGATAAAAGGCCCAAACAAGTGTTTAAGGGTGATTGAATCAATGATCAATTCATTATGATGTCTTCAATCCTGTCTTGCTCAATTTTATCTTTGCACTTGACATTTGGTTCACCTTTCGGTATCTCCTCTGATTTGATGTCTTCACTCACGCGAGCAGATTTCCTCCACCTTGCCCCCAGTGTAGAGGGTGATCCTTGGTTAATGTTGAATTAGAAGAAAAAATACTATAGGCTCAAAAGAGGACAACAAGATATATATATATATATATATACATATATGGATAAATAAAACAAAGTTTTTCATCATCTCATAGAAGAGGTATCCCTAGGGGGTAGATTTTCAGGAATAATTTTTATTCACATGAAAACAATGTAATTAATGCATGATAGAATTATTTCGAATTAATTCTACTTTATGCTTCTTGCTCCCAGCATGTCTCAATGTTCAGGCTTCCTGCGAGATGCCCCAAGTTATATCTTAGAAGACGACTCGTGTTCAAATGAACAACTCAATGCCTAAGGTTTTATTGGTATAAAAATGTCAATTTTGCGTCTAAAAAGACAATGGTGTGACTTTGTTGACCCAAAGAAAGGTATGGGTATGACTCTTTGTGTATCGAATTTTTTTTCAAATGGAGGTAATGTCAAAATCTGGTCTTTTGGTAATGACCATGAGTTATTTTGGGTAAAGAATCAAGGTATTTTATTTTGGGGTTTTAGACAAGATAAGAGAGGTCTAATCTTGCCATATGTCAAAAATCTATAATTCTTGAAGAATTAAAAGAATCCTTAATTCATTTAATATTCAAAGAACTAAAGATTAAAACTCGTTCAATTATTCCACCTTAAGAGGTAGCATAAATTCAGTCATTTAAAAGATTAAGCAAACATGAAAGATCAAAAACGTGTTCAAACAAAACAATAATCTCAATGCAAATGGTAGATACAATGCCTCTTTCTTCGATTGTCCATGCCCATGAATCCATCAGGTTTTGGATCTTGCGCTTCAGTGCCTTACAGTTCTCAGAGGAATTTCTGGAGCTTCTTATGTGGTAACTGCACACAGCTTCAACATAGTAGCCCTTAGGATATGGGGACTATTTTCTCAGATCATACTGGCAGGCTTAGTCCTACAACCAGCTGATCAGGCTCCCACTGTACTGATTTCAGTTTTTCCTTTAATTGTTAAAATCTTGCTTCTATGTAGTGTCATGTGGTTAAGATCACTTCATCGAATCCTCCATGAAGAAATTTCATGTTTATGAAAATGCTTAAAAATGAAATGTAGATGCAAAATGCAAAAATGCATGAAATGTTTGAGGCATTGATCCGAAAATATGTATGTTATTATAAATAATCTTTATTGGGATAAAAGTGTTATTTCTTAGGAGAAAAAAACATCCTAAATGTACATTCTGACCAAGTCTTCTAGACCCGAAATAGGTAGACTAGTCTTCTGCCTTCGTCTGTCGCCGGTCGAATACCCTGTCGAACCACTTCGGCTTCTCTGGTTAAACCGTGCAAGTGACGAGCTACTTTTTGTACTTGTTCCCAGAAGTATCGAATGACTATATCTCTGGATTTCATCCTTTGCTAAACCTGTTCTCTAACAAAAATGCCATTAAAATCCTCCATCAAAGGGATTATTTGAAGTTCATTTGATTGTTTCTTGAATTTGTCAACAATGGCTTCCAATTCAGCTATCGTTTTGCCCTCTTGTTCTTGTTGTCTTTGAAGGGACTCTCGAGGTCAGTAATATTTTTCACGTCTTTCTCCTGCAACCTTTGCCAATCAATTTTTGAAAAGTTGACTTTTGATGTACTTGATTGTGGGCACCACGTCTTCTTGATTGAATGTGACACTTAGTTGCCTTGCAGATTGTCCTTATTTTCCTTCTTTTCGGACCATAGTCGGACCTTTGTGTTTTTCATATCTTGTATTACAACCCCTTGATCCCTTAATGCAAACTATTTATATTTAACGAACACGTTTTTGTGGATCAACACCTCTTTTGAATGATGTAAATGATAAAAAATAAAATGAAAGAAAAAAATGAAAGGAAAAAGTTAGTGAAGTCAGGATAATAATCAAACCAATAATGAAAATAAAAGTTATACCCCACATGATATCTACCCCACATACTTTAATTCTTATCCATACATGCTTTCTACCCCACATGCTACAAATCCTAACCGCATATTTGTCTAGTTTGTATGCTTTGAACAAAAGTAAAGTAGAAAATAATCTCATAACAACCTAGGGTTTGAAACGAGGTTTTGGGGTGGGCTCTAATTCACTGTAGTCTCCCGGTTTAGGTTCTAAAGAAGGTACTCGAGTTCTCCTTGTTGGTGCCCCCTTGGGCTTGCCAGACCCTTAGCCCTAAGCCCATTACAAGCTCATGTGGACTAAGTTAAACTCGAGAGGATACATTCCCTTATTCCTGCACGGTGAATAAATTCACGCGAAGACATCAGGTATATGAATCCCAAAGGTTATTTGCTAGGCCTATGCGGAGAATAAATTCTCTCGAAGGCGTCGCTTTCACCCCCACTTAAAAGGGTTCGGAGTTTGGGTATAGAGCCTTAAATGGAAAAAGTTAAAGATCTGAAATCATTGAAAAAACGCCAGTACAACTATTTATTTGAAAAATAATCAAAGATAAATAATTGGAATCAAATAAATAAATTAAAATTTAAACTTTCAATTTTCGCTCAAAAAGAAAACCAGAAATTAATTTCGGCCTGATTCACTTACTTGTCCCCAGCGGAGTCGCCAAGCTGTCGCGGCCGTCTTTTGGGTAGGCCCAGAATTGGGCTTCGACTTGAATAAAATGATTTAGAGTCGCTACCGATCATTTTAAAAAAAATATATTTAGGTTGATCGGACACCATCTTACATGATCTGCGTTTTACTAGAAACATGTCGGATTCAGGAGTCGGTTACAGTCAATGAAGGATTAGCACCCTTTAATTGCCCTTTCGATACCATTTAATTTGTCGGTTGTCTTAATTGCGAAAATTAAAATTTAAAAACTCGATTCAAATTACTTACCTTTGATCAAAAAATTCCCCTAAAAAGTAAAAAATATTAGATAAGAAATAATAAATAAATATTAAATAAATCAAGGGGGAAAATAAAATAAAATAATTTTTTTAAAAATTTTAAAAGTAATAAAAAAAAAGAAGAAACCTCCGAAAAGACAAAAATGTTAGTGAAAATATAATAATAATTAAATAAAAATATTAAATCAAATCATAAATGAAAATAAAATAGGGGTTAGATTGACAATAATCAAAGTTAAACATCAAAATTAAATTACAAAGAAATAGACTATGTTACATGGTGCATCAAAGATAGGGGGCCAGAAGAAGAATTTAACCATAATATTTGAAGGGCTATGGAGGAGTTTACCCATAATAGTTGAAGGACCATAAGGAGAATTTACCCAAAGTCCTTGGTCACGTGGGGTTTTGTTTAATTTCATGCGTACAGGAGCCTTTTTTTTAATGCATTTGCAATTCCATTTAAAACAAACTTCCCCTGTAAACAAGGAGATGTTGGAGAAGACGAAGAAACCGGTGCTTTGGAAGAGAACAAACTGTGGAACGGATTTCCCCTTGTAAGGGTAAAACAGAGACCAATAGCCAGCCAAAGAAAATAATATGATGAACGAAACCGATAGGTAGCCGAGGGCGACGGAGGGATCCGATGGATACTTGCATAGAACCGAATCTTTACCGGGAATTGGGGTTCCGGCGGCAGACTTCTTGTTCTCCGCAATGACTCCGAAGATGAAAGACAAGACGCCGAGGCCGGCGAAGATGAGGGCCGCTCGCTTCATAGTCACACCCATGGTGGATTTTGATTACACGATGATCCGATGAAACCCAAGGGCGGTTCTTTGCAGGAACTAGGAACGAGGACTAGCAATGGAAGCATCTATTTGGTATTATAATATGGAATCTTTAGAAGAATCGGAATGAGTTTGTGTTCCCACGTTAGGTTCGGGCAGCAATGGACATAATTCAACGGAAGCTTTGGAATTATCGTGCAGTCGAACCAGTGCAAAGGGCTTACTGCCGAAGTCAATCTGCGGATGTCTTGGAAACCATCATCCCCGGACTTCTTCAAGCTAAATACAGATGGCGCAGTCAACCCCTTGTCGATGCAAGCTTCATGCTGAGGTGTCATTCGGAACGGCAATGGTGCGTGGTTCAAAGGCTTTGCCAGGAAGATCGACTGCTCCAACATCCCGCAATCGGAGCTTTTAGCCATCCTTACGGGGCTCCAAACAGCGTGGGAGCATGGCTACCGTGGTGAACTCCCGGGCGCGATGGTGGATTAGGAGGTTAGTGGGTAGGTAATAATTATTATTATTATTAATTATTATTATTATTAATTATTATTATTATTATATTTTTTCGACTCATATAAAAACGGGTATCTATATAATAAATATCTTATTTTAAAAAAAATTCCCATGCACCCTAATGCGTACGGTAGTAAATATTCTATTTGAGAAAAATAATTTCTTATACGCCCTAATAAGAACAGTGGTGAACATTCTATTTGAGAAAATAATATTTCATACACTTGTATGTCCAATAACTTTTTCCAACATATTGTTCAAAATTATTTTTCGTAGATATCCATTATTTAAATACGGAGGTTTAAATTCAGATTACAGAATATATAATATGTCTTCTTCTAATTATTCATCTAGAATTTTAGTAAATTCAATTTTTTTAATTCAAATATTTGTCATATAATAAAATTTTAAATTCAAATTTTTATAATTCAGATATCCAACATATAATAATATTTAATTTAAATTTATAATAATAGTCAAATAGTTTAAAATAAAAAATATATTTAATTTAAATTTATACATAATTATTCCACCTAAACAATAAAATTTTCAAATGAATACTAATAAATAGCGATCAAGGTAAATACCTTTCCTGTTATTTAACCAATGAATTAAGATAATATTGTTGACATATTTAATCGAAGTTTAAGGCAAAATCATTGAGATCTACGTTCGAACTTTTATAATTCAAATCCAACCGTACCTTTGCTCACTTTTAAAGTTTCTATTTCAAATTTAACAATTTGAACCCAAACTTTCTTCCCCGATATTATGATCTGATTTGTTCGTTATTTTTTATAATCAATTATATTTGATTTATTAGTTAGTTAAATCAGATTAAATATTACATACGCATATTACGAGAATAATCTTTTTAATTTTATTTATTTATTTATTTATAATATTGATGTGTGAATACTTAACTTTATTTTTTTAAAATGAATGTCTTATTCTATTATAGCAATCAAGGATAGATCATGAGTATTTGGCAAACAACCAATAACTGGTAGTTGATTCCGGTAGTTAGTTTGACCAACTGATTTGATTAATTGATTTGAAACTGATTTGATTAACTGTTTATATAGAAGTGTTTAGTAAAATTTAGTTGATAGTTGATAGACGGTATGGATAAAATGACAAATAAGTGTATGATATATTTAGTTGTTAAGTACATAAATGTTTTATAATGCTTTAGTCTTTATTGAGGTGAAATTATTCGAATAAAATGGTTTTGACAAGGAATTAAAAATTCCTTAAGAAAATTTGTAAATATTTTTAAAAAATTGAATATAAGATTTATAAATATTAATCTTGTTAGATTGATACATACTATCAACTTTGTATAAATTATCAACAATACATTTTTTTTACTTTTATGTTTTGCTATATTTTCTTAACTAAAATATATTTGAGAATCTACAACTAAAAAATAGAATAATAAAATAAAATTTTACTAAAATATATTAGGATGGAGGCTATTTCATTAGATTAGGCTTTATGACAAGGATGTAATTATAGAAATAATAAGGTCAAATATATCATTTAACATCTTATTTTGCAATTAGCTATCGCAAACCGTTGAATTTTCTAACGTTTTCATTTTCAGTTTATTTTGCACAATAAGTTCTTTCAAAAATGTATTTACCAAATACTAAAAATGGAGACTTTAACCAATAATCAACTAATTATACTCCAATAAACTAACATTTCTTTAAAACGTTGTTTATCAAACACCTCCTATATTATTTCTATTTTAATTGTTTTTTTATAAATCACTAAAATAATCTTAAATTGAACATGTAACTTGACCCTAAGATGGGTAAATAGCCCAACATTAGATCTGTATTTATAACTTAATTGGATACAGTAACCAATTAAGGTAAATCTGGAAAATCCCAAAACAGTACAGCAAGGTGATCTGCACTTTGGCTGTACCTAGTTGTCATGGATTCACAGGTTTGGTTTTTTTTGTTGGCTTTTCACTTGGTCATTTCATGACATTGAGGGTGTGTTTGGTTCACGGAATGTAAGATTATCAGGGAATAAGATTACTGGGAATGTTGTATTTTGTGTTTGGTTGGTTTAGCAAGAATGTAAGATTACTGTGTTTGGTTAAAGAAATAAAAGATTATTGGAAAGTATATTTGACTAAATTGTCCTTATTATATATTTGTATAATATTACAAATTGTAAAATATTTATATATTTTCTTTAAAAAATTAAATTCATAATATTTATATAATTTTTTTTATAAAATTAAAAATATAAAAAAGGTTTAATGAAAGGGTAAAAAAAATTTAACCTGAACTTCATATAAAATTTTAATTATAGACTTTTTTTTGTAAATCTAAAATAATTTAAGGATAAATTTATAATTTAATCTTCGTAGAATTTTTATTATTCAATGACAAAATAAGGATATTTTTGAAAAAAATAAAAATTTAAGGGCATTTTAGTCCAAAACACCGGTAATGTTAATACCTAAGGGAAGGGAAGTAATGACATTCCCGGTAATATACCCCAAAAAATCTACTATTGATAATAAAACATTACCGGGAATGAGATTCTCGACCAACCAAACATGGGAATATGAGATTCTTATCCCATGAGAATCCCACAATCCTTAAACCAAACACTCCTGAGGTCATGACCGGATTCCTTTGAACACTGGTCACATGTCAAAGCTGGACTCCAATAAATCTTTTTCAAACAAGTTCCCATTAAGGGTAAATTACATGTTTAGTATTTAAACTATTACTTTTATTCTATTTTGATACTTAAACTTTATTATTTTTAAAAATCATACTTAATGTTTAGTTTAAGTTTCGTTTAATGCCTATCGTTACAAACTTAACAATGATAATGACATATCATCATAAGATAATACCATATCATCATTTAAAAATTAAAAAAATACCATGTTAGTAGTTCTTTGAATTTTTTAATGATGGGTGCCAAAATAAAAATAAAACTAAATATTATGTATGATTTTGAAAGAAAATAAAGTTTAGATATCAAAACGGAATGAAATAATAGTTTAGATACTAAAGATATAGTTTATACTATATTTAATTTTGGGTTGTCTTTCTAGATCTTCAAATTCTAGCCACAGATGCAAGTAAACAGAAGCTTTCCTGTTTTCCTTTATTAGTACTTCACTGAAAACTGTTATCAGTGTTCAAACTTCCCCTTTCTCTCTATCTAACTCTAATCCCCTCTCTTCCATCATGCTTTGACTTCAAAGATATAACCTTTTCAGTTTTTCATCAATGGTGAACATAGGACTGTAAATGAGACGAGACAGATCGCGAGCTATTCGAGATCGACTCGATCAAGGCTCGATAAATACTCGGATCAAATGGACTCGACTCGAGCTCAACTCGATTTCTTAACGAACTGAAACGAGCTACTCGATATTCGACTCAAAAAGCTCGTGAGCAGCTCGAAAAAATAACAATGTTATATTATAATTTTAGATTTTTTAAAATTACATTATTAAAAATACATTATTGATAATTATAAAATTTTAAAAATATATTAAAAATTCTATAATACAACTAAGACATCTCATCCCTTATAATTATGTCATAGGGTTTATGGTTTAGGTTTTAAGGTTTATGATTTATGATTTATGATTTATGATTTAGGGTTTATGATTTAGGATTCATGGTTTATAATTTAGGGTTTAGGGTTTATGGTTTAGGATTCATGATTTAGGGTTTATGGTTTAGAGTTTATAATTTAGGGTTTATGGTTTAATTTATACACAACTACTTAAAGAAGACAATCCTAAACAGGGACTAAATTATTACCTAAACTAAAGTGTGCTTACACGATACATGCATGCATACGAATGAAATGCAAATGCATATACATTAAGATGAAACAATATAAAATTAAACCTACTATTAATAACTTAAACTCATATTTTAAAAATGCCATGAAGGACCAAAACAATATAAAATTGAAAATTGGCATACAAAGTAGAAATTACTCATTAAATTAAACAAGCCAACTAAGGGATTACAATGTCAAATAATTAAAATTACAAGACACAATTAAAAACAAGCACAAATTGAAGGAACACTAAAACAAGATATCTAGGGTAAAAACTCCTACCCTAATTCATTTCCCCCTCAAAACATTCCCTGGCTAAAACTTCCCCCTTGCCGTTCTCCTCTCAAACCTCGTCCACTCGCACAGCCCTAGCAGAAACCCACAGCCACCGTGGCCTAAACGCTCCCCCAAGACTCCGGGCGACAAAGGATAGCTCCTATCGACGAGAAGGTAAGGTTTTACTTACTGTTCTCTGGCCACTGCTAGTTTTTCTTTCTTTTTCTCGCAACCAGTGAATACTTATAAAGAGCATAGCAGTACCGCTGAATGGCGAGGCTCATCCCAAGTTCTATCAATGTTGTATCTCTCTCCTTTGTGGTCCATTTTGAAGCATAACCGTTCATAGTTTCAATCCCTCCAATAATGTATGCTTGTCTAAGTCA